TTTCCTGTTCGTGGAACTCCAGTCTCCAAGACTTGGGTGGATTTTAATAGCTTTTTCCTGTAAAGTGTTTACCTACTCGAAGAAGCCATTGTTGGTGCCTCAGGCGAGGGGTCCCCCACTAAAAATCACTCGTTGTGCCCAAGGAAAAAAACACTCGCAATAACAAGATACTGGCGATAACTCGTGAAAAACACGAGAAAGACTCACGAATACGCGCCAAATACTGGCCAATACTCGCATTAACTCGCTTGTACTCTCGAATACTCGCGAGCACTCGCGTTACTCATTGTACACCCACTAAAGTAACCCCTTGCGTGCAGGGGAGTAACACGGTAAAAACAATGTCTCATATTTTGAGGAAAAGGGGAAAACTTTCAGGGACTCCCATGTTTGAGGAAGAGTCCTCCGATCTCGCCTCAAATTTTGAGGAATCTTCTCAAAAAAACGGGGGGGGAATCCCACATTTTTGAGACGTCTTTGAAATCTGAGGAGTTTTCATCAAACCAGGGGAGTTCCTCAAAGTTTTCCCTTTTCCCTCAAAAAATGAGACATTGTTTTTACCGTGAAGGCAAACCCGTCCGCACGCACATCATAAGGTGTCCACCGTCCGTGCTTTGATTAGGCCTGGGGCAATGCATTATGCAATGTGACCTGTATGTCAAGGTCTCACAACAAGGTGCCGCCCATAGCAGGCCACATTTAGACCTGAACAGATTTATTTCTTAGTCAGTATTTACGTTTCTTGCGCAGCAGGATTACTGACTAACTAGTTACTTATTCTGTACTTGGTCAGCGCGCAGTAGAACGTCTAAAATTCAAGTTTGGAACAGCGTTCCAAACTGGAAAATCCCAGTTCCATGTACCACAGGAAAGCCCAGCTTTGGGTAAATATAGTACAATCCGCATTCCAAATTGAAATTTTCATTATCCAGCCAGGAATCTCCTTGCAAATAGCAGGGAAATCCAATCTCCTTTGGGATTTGAGAAAATCCATAATATTTTTTACAGTCTGCCCCCCCCCCCTCAAAATCTCTGTCAGCCAAACCTAAAACGGTCATGCTGGGCACGAGGCGGCCTGGTTTTTCCATCCCTCCCCTCTTCCTGCTTCTTTACTCTCCTGCCAGCTCCGCAACCGTGCAGCATACAGCCAGCAGGCTGGACGCCTCAAATTCAAATTTGCGGCGTGCTTTTTGCGCCGCGCACCGTTGGCCAGCCCGAGTGAGTCGCTCCGTTTAGCACAAGCGTGTTCGCCACTCGCGCGAGTTTGCGCTTCCGTGAAGTTTGCGGCACGCCTCGCCGCGCTCAAGTCCGCCCCGCTACCGCAGCCCCTGACTATAGGCTTCTGTTTTAATTACAGAGAGGGACGCGCCGAACACACGTTCTTGCTTCAAGGTTTGAGTTTCACTCAGGTGGAGTGTGAAATGCGGCAAGGGTCGGGTTTTTGCTACACAATAAGGCCCACAGCTTCCATTACCGTTGAAAACATACACTGTTAAAACAACGGATTTCAGCTGCTAGGTAGTAACCCCTCCAAGAAAATTCTTCTCAATTTCGAAGGATTTCTATTTTTCATGTAATTTATTACGAGGGAACAACAGTGTTCGTTCAAAAGGGCGTTTTACAGAGTCAGCAGAGCATTTTACAACGCTTCAAAATTCACTGCGTGATAAATTTCCTCGTAAAGTTACGACATATCTTGTAATTTGGAATTACAAAATACTGTTGTAAATTTACGGTGGACCATTTTTGCTCCTCGATTAATTCCAAGTCGATAGGAAGTGATTGTAATTTTACAACTTCAAGTTATAATAATTTTACGGACTCACATCATTGAAAATTTTTCTGTAAACTTACGAGTATTTTTCAGTGTTCTTTGCAGAGCTCTGCAAAATCGACGTTTCAGACCGACCGCCTCTGACCGGACCCGGCCTGTGAGCATAGGCGTCAGGCCGCGTGGCTCGGTCGGTCAGCTCTGCAGAGACCGACCGAGGCCCGGTCAGTGCAGACCGCGCTGCCGGGGACGTTTTCGGGCGTGGCGGAGCGTGGCGACTTGCTTATTGGCGTCCCTGCCGCCTCGAATGTAGGCAACCCAACAAACTTTCCCCCTCTCTCACACAGTCCCGCGGTCTGCGCTGACCGAGCCGGTCTGGCACGGTCGGTCTCGTAGAGCGATTTTGCAGAGCTCTGGTTCTTTGCAATGCAGAAAATAGTTCTTTACGAGCTTTGTACAGTGTGACTTCCTTTCAATTATATCACTTTTTAGCAACCGGCATTGGTCCATCACAACCCCCACCCTTATCCGAAACCACCATCTTCATGGAGGAGCATTCTGACAGTACTTCTCCATGACCATCTTATTGTGTCCACAGAGCCCCCCTTCCTCCCCCCTATGCCTCCCGAAGAACTCTCGGCGCTCCAGTTCTAGTGCAGCGCCTAACCAACGGAGTTTCACTTTTTTTTCTTCACCTGATTTCTTTTAAGATCACAATAAAGCACAAACACGCGCGACGCCGACGACACAATGTCATGATGGTCCACCAATTAATTCCAATTAATTAACGGGACGCGTCGTCGGGTCGCCGTCGTCGGGAGGCGCGCCAGAGGGCCACAGGGAAAGGGAGGGGGGAGGGGGAAAAGGGGGGAGGGGGGTGCCGCGACGCCTCGACCAAACACCCCCCCTGATGGACGTGTCTATCAGACGCTCCCTGCGGCGGCTCTGCGCGGAGGGAGGTGGGGAGAGGGGTTGGTTGCTCTCCCCAAGCCAAGGCGCACCACACCACCACCGCGGCCACGGGTAACCTCGTCCACGTTCAGCTGCTTGCTGACGGCAGCCCAGGCGTCTTTGATCTGAACTAGATCTCCGTGTAACTCACAGTGGGGGGGGGGACTATACCACCCTCTTACTACGGCTAGGGGGCGACGACGCACCGCCGTACGCGGCCGGACTGGACGCTCCGCTCAGTCAATCTATTCCTTGAACCTCACCGCCTCACCGCCGGCCTGGCGTGGCGTGGCGCCGCGTTGTTGACTAATTAACCAACTTAGCCGCCAATTACAGGTGGCCGGGCAAGGCCCCCCGCCATAGGCTGCGTAGCGCTGGCTGCGGAGAGGGGGAACCGAGGAGGGCCGCGAGGGTAAACACCCTATCAAATTCGGAATTTTCCTTGTTTTGATTGTAGGTCAAAACGAAGACCACGCTGTTACAAAAATTCGCGAAAGTTGTTGTAAATTTTCCACCAAAAGTGTGATTAATTTTGTTAGCAGCACATGCATGCATGCTGTACTTTTACAACCATACTGTCAGGTGCATATCTGTAATCTACGCCGAAACCTGAGTCTAATGACATGCTGCTTGTTATTCTGGGACATCTCATTTCGTTTTTAAAAATTGCTGAATTATATATTTTTACCTTAAATGGTAAAAATTGTTCAAAATCTGAGGCGGTCCGAAGTTACGTAATACGTCCTCAGACTCGGTTTTTGACGCAGATTAAGCTTTGGTATTAGTTTTGACCAACGACCAAAAGAAGGTTGTACTTTCAAAATTATGTATTAAAGCCCATAAGACCATAAGATGCCAACAGTAAAATTTGGCCCTCTGGCGCGTCCTCTAAATTTTGTTCAAAAATTCCTGCCTGACCTAACTGTTTTTATTTTTGACACTGAACGAAACTTTTCAACAACAAGCGCCAAGTCGTGCATCGAACATTCGGCGCTTTTGAAACATCATATTCATACCCACTCTTCCACGAACTGGGCGACAGATGATAACAATTTAACAGTAAGTCTGTGTTTTATTCTTCTCACATATTTAAAGATAATTTGTAGGATTTAAGTTAAGAATTTTGTACGCGTTGTATCGTCTCTCACCATAACATTCGTTTACGGCTTGCCTACAATCCGGCGTCATCCCTGTGTTTAGTTTGGAGGCGGGGGCTCCAGCGGTGGGAG